CCATCCTCCAAGCTTTCCTCCTTGTCTCTGTTGCTGTGTGTGTGTGTGTGATATAGAGAGAGAGAGAGAGAGAGAGAGAGAGAGAGAGTTAATCAGGGTTTTCCAGAGAACAAAATTAATAGGACAGGTAGAGCTATATAGAAGGAAATTTATCATGAGGCATTGGCTCATGTGATTGAAGAAGCTAAGTCCCATAGTCTGCTCTCTGCATGCTGAAGGCCTATGAGCTCCAACAGCTTAGTTCCACCGAATCCAAAAGCAAGAGAACCAGGCCAGCAGGAGTGTAAGTTCCGGTCTGAGTCTGAAGGCCTATGAATCAGGCCAGCCAAAGTCTGATGTAAACAAAATATGATTGTCCAAAAACAATGAAAAAAACACAGAATAAGCAAATTCATCCTGCCTCCACCTTTTTGTCTAGTTAGCAGTGGGATGGATGAGGTCTACCTGCATCAGCAAGGGAAGGGCGTTAATGTTATTCTACAAATTCATATGCTAATCTCGTCCACAAGCACAAACACACCCATACTGTTCTACCCCCTATGGAGGCATCTCTTGCCTAGTCAAGTTGACACATTAAAGAAAAAAAAATTGTATCTGATATTTATCCATCCTCTCAGGTAATATTAAGTTCATATTTTTTAACAATGCAATTATAAGTGGTCTTGTATATATTTCACTGCTCAGATACAGAAAGCATGTGTATTTCCTTCACCATATGTACACATGTGTATCTGTCTACTAGTGGAATTGTTGGGCTGTAGGTGGTATATATTCACCATTCTATGTTGCTACATGGCTCTTAGAAAATGTGATTATTGGTGGGGCTTGGTGGTACATGCCTTTAATCCCAGCACTCGAGAGGCAGAGTCAAAGGCAAGCAGATCTCTATGATTTTGAGATCAGTCTGGTCTACATTGTGTGTTCCAGATCAGCCAAGGCTACGTAATGAGACCCTGTCTCCAAAAACAACAATAATAACAACAAAGTGTGATTACTAATGCCTCCTGCAATAGGGAATAACAATCTCTATATCTTTAATTCCTTCACTTGGAAGGCTAAAGCAGAAAGGCTGCAAGTTGGAGACCAATCTGTACTGCATAAAGAGACCCCCATCTTTTAAAAAAAAATCCTCTTAGTATGTGTGATGGCTAATCCTGGGTGTCAATTTGACTGGATCTGGGATTAATTGAAATGAGAGAGATCTTCTGAAGCTGGAAGACACACCCTAAATGTGGATGTTACCTTCTGATGGCAGCCTGTATGAAAGGCCATGGCAGAGGAGAACTTCTGGCTTCTTGCTGCTTGCCTTCTCTCTCACTGGTGAGTTCGTCTTGTTGCTGTAGACTGAAGACTAGCTGATCTTTTGGAATTTAACAGACCTTCAGCGCCAGATTGGGACTACTGAGACATCCAGTCTCGTGGACTGAGAGACTACAGATTCTCAGCCTCTCCAGTGTGGTGCAGCCATTGTTGGACTACTCAGACTCTGTCCTGTGAGCTAAGCTGATAAATCTCTATACATATATATTCATTCTACCAGTTCTGTTTCTTTGGAGAACCCTGACTAATACAGTATGCATTTGGTATTATACAACTTAAATATTTGTGAATCTAATGACTGTGAAAAGAAATCTCAATGTGGTTTAAATCTGAATTGTCCCAATTGCGACACAGGGACAGTCCTGTGTATTTTTCTGTGCATCACCTATTCATTTCCTTTGCCTTGTTGGTTTTCTTTTTTTCTTTCTTTCTTTCTTTCTTTCTTTCTTTCTTTCTTTCTTTCTCTTTCTTTCTTTCTTTCTTTCTTCTTTCTTTCTTTCTTTCTTTCTTTCTTTCTCTTTCTTTCTTTCTTTCTTTCTTCTTTCTTTCTTTCTTTCTTTCTTTCTTTCTCTTTCTTTCTTTCTTTCTTTCTTCTTTCTTTCTTTCTTTCTTTCTTTCTTTCTCTTTCTTTCTTTCTTTCTTTCTTCTTTCTTTCTTTCTTTCTTTCTTTCTTTCTCTTTCTTTCTTTCTTTCTTTCTTCTTTCTTTCTTTCTTTCTTTCTTTCTTTCTCTTTCTTTCTTTCTTTCTTTCTTCTTTCTTTCTTTCTTTCTTTCTTTCTTTATTTATTTATTTATTTATTTATTTTTTATACTTGCTCTAGTTGTTTTATAGTAGAGGTCAGAAAACTTTTCCTGTTAAGGTCCAGATAGTAAATATTTTGGGTTTTGTAAGACCTCTCTGTCATGACTCTTCAACTCCACTATTGTAATTAAAACCAATTACGTATAGCACATAAACAAGTAGATGCGGCTATGTTTGTTCCAATAAGGTTTTCCTTGTGCTTATGCTTCTTTACCTTTTTAAGTTAGCATACAAAGAAGTGGATTTTATTATAACATTTTCATACATTTACATCATTATACTTTGTTCTTATTTATATCACTCCTTTACTGTCCTCCCCCATCCTACCTGCTGATCCTCTTTTCCCCTAAAAAAATGCCCATTCTGCTT